AATCCATCTCCCCGGTTTCCCTAAACTTTTATGAACGACCGGGTGTTTAAGATAGAGACGTGAGATAGAGAGTTGAGGCCTTCCCGGGCAAAACAGAAGCAACGATAAAAGTCACAAGAGTAAGGGTGATGACGCGTTCCAAAGTTTTCAGCGTTCAGAATTGCACCACCTTCAACAAACCACACCGCGCACACAACAACAACAACAGCAGCACTTTCAATTACGTATTGAATTTTTTGTTTATTAACAATGTGTACATTGAAATCTAGTCATTATACGAACCTTGTAGGTGTCTGGGGAGGTGAGGGGAGTGACTCCCCCTCCCCCCCTTTACAGAGAGAATGGCAATGGTTGGGATGCAGCTCACAGATGCCCCCCCCCCCGGGTTCACACTCACTGGGGGGGGGGGTGCTTGTCTGATAGCGCTGGGGGTCACGTGGGGGGCGGGGAGGGGGGGTTTGAGGGGTGGGAGGTCACAGGTTAAATTCACACCGGCACCATCCAGTGATGGCCAAAACGCACGGATCTTCCATCCTTCCAACCTACACTCTTTGGTTCAATTCGGTAAAAGTCACGTCGGTAAAACAAAATACCTACGCGACTTTACCGAATAGAAAACAAAGAGCCTGGGTCCTTGCAGTCACGAAAGCTTCAAATCTAGAATCCTTCCAACCTGATTTGGTGGGGCCCGGGATTTGTCCCAGTAGAGAGAGGGGGGTGGTGGTGGTGTTGGTGGCGGGGGGCTCTCGGGAAAGTGCCCCCCCCACCACTCGAGAGAGAGCCGTGGGTGGCATGCCGAGTAAAGACGATGGGAGATGATGATGATGATGACGATGATTGCCAAGGCGAGTAAGATCAATTTAGAGACGGGGTGTTTGCGCGCTGTGGACGAGCGATGAGATGTGCAGACGAGCGAGATGCACCGGAGAGAGAGGTCGAGAGTGGAGGCCGACCAAAATTCCGTTTCGGTTTCGGCGCCGAAAGTTGCCAAATGGCCTCTTTCGGCATCGTTTCTGTTTTGTCCGAAGCCAGTTTTACTTTCGGTATCGGCTGAAAGTCAATTTGTAACTTTCGGTATCGGCCGAAAGTCAATTTGTAACTTTCGGTATCGGCCGAAAGTCAATTTGTAACTTTCGGTATCCGCCGAAAGTAAATTTGTAACTTTCGGTTTTGGCCGAAAGTCAATTTGTAACTTTCGGTTTTGGCCGAAAGTAAATTTTTTAACTTTCGGTATCGGCCGAAAGTAAATTTGTAACTTTCGTTTTCGGCCGAAAGCAGAAATTCAGTTTCGGTCGGCCTTTAATCGAGAGACCGAGGAGTGGTGGTGGTGGGGGGGGGGGGGGGGGAGGTCGGTGAGAATGGAGAGCGCTAAATGAGCGTGTGGGTTTGGGCCGCGGGTGGCGGGCAAACATCGCGGGAGCCGGGGAAGCGAGACCCCAACCTGGCGGATGGCCGAGACGGAGGGGGCAACGGATCCGGCGCTGCGGCAACGTCAGAACCTCAACGGCGCGGGGGCGACGTCGCAAACGCTGCCAACACCACACCCAACGGTGCTTGCGGAGGTCTCGGAACACAATCTGGTTGTTGTTGCTGCTGCTGCTGCTGCTGGTGTTCGTGTCGAGGAGGCGACGGCCGTCCGGAACGCTCTTCCCCCGTCAGGCATCGAGGAAGCGACATCGGGAGCGACGGAACTTGTAAACCGTCATCGATGAAATCGACGCGCTCAATTCCTTTGCAGGCGTCCGCTTCGTCGTGCCTTTCCACACCCGCACCTCCGATGAGCAGCGGACGCCCTACGTGTGCGGTGCGAATTGAAGTTCAACACAAATACAAAGACTCCCCCCCACGCCCCACGTGTAGCCTGTAACAGACTGCAGGGGCGAGTGCTGTTAGCGAGCAGCGCCTATGAAGGCTACCGGCACCGTGGCACGCGAGGGGGGTGAGTGGCCAGCACCACGCCCGGCCGCCTTTGTCTCCCCAAGTGGCGACGTTTACGACGCACCGCCACCAGGTACTCGTTTGAGGCGGAGTCGACCTAGGGGAGGCCCGTGACCGGTTCAGATAATCGTGAGCGGGAATCGAACCCGGGTCGCCGGGTTCGTAGCGCAGCGTAGCGCTAACCGCTGCACCACCGCTCCCCACTACACACACACACAGTCACACAGTCACACACACACTGACACCTCCGTTCAGTTTCACCTCCCCCCCCCCTCCGTTCTCTTTAACCGTACGTCCCACCCCTCCCCCCACCACCCTCTCCCCGTTGCAACCCACACAGAGCGACGCCACCCTTGCTTAACATCAACCACGTGACTCGGGGGGGGCAGGGCAGGGGGCCAAGCAGGGCAGGGGGCCAAGCAGGGCCAGGGGAGGGGGGGGCCAAGCAGGGCCAGGGGAGGCGGGGGGGGGGCCGGGGCCCGGACGGTGGACTCATCGCGGGGTTGGCGTCGTTTCACCGCGTGCGATGTGAGCGTCACGGCGACGTCACGGCGACGTCACGGCGACGTCACGGCGACGTCACGGTGACGTCACGGCGACGTCACGGCGACGTCGCGGCGACGTCACGGCGACGGCTTCTGCCTCCCCGAGCTCACACGGCGGTGGCGGCGTCCGGCTCGGTTTGTGCCAGTGGGAGGGAGGGGGAGGGGGGGGAGGTACCAACGGGGTTGTGTTCACACCCAGCTGAAGCACAATTGTTTCAGATGACTATTAGGCAAGGGTGGGGGAAGGAGCGTACATCACCAAACAGGTAAAAACTTGACTTTACTCAAATTGTTATAAAGCGTGGATTTAAAATTCACAACGTCCATCGTCCGTCCGCCCCCCCCCCAACACGAACGCCGGGGGGGGGGGGGGAGGGGACAAATGAAGTCTCTCGCTCCGCGTCAACATTCCCAGGAAAAAAAAAATAACGTCGGCAGAAATCTACGAATTTCAATTCCTTCGCTCCACTCCACACACTACCACCACCACCACCACCGCCGCGACAATTACTTAACAGGGGAGGCCACCTTTCAAATAAAAATTAAATCTCATAAAATGTGTGGCAGTCTCCGGAACGAACGACATTGGGGAGCGGTGCATGTCAGTCCCGAGAGACGCGTTTGTAAAAGTTACGGGGTATGTATAATAGTCCGGTGTGGATGCGTTCAATCAGATGCGTTTACATCTCTCATACGCCAGTCGGGAGTTGATGTGATTTGTGTGACTTTACTGGATGTGTGTGTGTGTGAGGTCTGTATCATTTTACCGAGTGCATCTTTTCAAGGTGGTGTGTGTGTTGCGTGCGCATGCATGTGATCACGTGCGTGTACAGATTTAACATCCGATTGGATGCGCGGGGGGTGTGTAATCAAATGCGGTTGTGTGATCAGATCCGCGCAACTTCGTTTTGGTCCATCTTATAAACTATTTTTTTATTTTACCAGGTTAAGGCTGTGCAATAGCTTTTGAGGGCTTCCGAATCACCAAGCACTTTTAAAAGAGATCTAAAAAAAACATTTTTTTAAAAACTTGATTTTAATTCGGATTTTTTTTCCACGTGCTGTTTTTTTTTGTATTACATCCTTGCTCGAAATTTGTTACGACGATTTTATTCTGCCTACGATTTAACTTTCATTGTTCACGCCTGTAAAAAAAAAAAAAATTTTGCTATAGAAATAAAACGACCTGGCCAACCACAATGATAGCTCACACGAAGTGGTTCACACCGTCATCATCAATCACGTGGATAACCTGAACGTGTGGCGATGTCGATTCTATAATGTGGAGCGGGGGGAGGGGGGGGGGGAAACCCCGGACAAAAAATCCACGCGACCACGGGGAGAGAGTGAACACGCCAATTCCAAATATACAGCAGCAGGCATCAGGGTCGGGATTGAACCCACGGCCTCCTGCGTACCGGGCGAGGTAGTCAACATCTCCACGGGGAGAGAGTGAACACGCCAACACCAAATACACAGCAGCAGGCATCAGGGTCGGGTACGAACCCATGACCTCCTGCGTACCGGGCGAGGTAGTCAACATCTCTCCCTAGAGTGGTGGTGGGTGAGCGGTATTTATTTTCTGTCCGGAGTATCCCGGGAACAAATCCAGAGAATGTGGCGGTAAAAATAGTGACAGGCCTCACTTATGATATATCTGGCGCACAGCAACAACAACAACAACAATCGTCAGCAACATCGCCACCACCACCATCATCATCGTCGTCGTGATCATCAAATCATCATCACCGGGCATTTTCCACAAGCGCAAAAAAAATAACAACCCAACAATCGTCTTAAAGCGAACGTTTTACATTTCAGTAATTTTTGCCTTTTTCCGTTTCTTTCCACCAACCGCAAACCTCCGCGCGTTCGCTGATTCGCTCGCTTGCGTTCGAGAAATGCACAACACCAACAACAACAACAACAACCACCACCCCCGCCACCTCCCCCTCCCTCCATCCCAAAATCGCCCCCCCCCCCACACACCCCCCCCCCACCCAGACTCTCCACCCCCCCCCCCCTCCCCCCCCAATATTTACGACGGTTCTCATCGTTACAAAAAATTAAACCTTAAAAGCCAAAAAAAAATTAACCGGCAACCGAATTCAATTTCTTTTCATTCTCCAAAGCCGCTCCCACACCCCCCGCCCCGCCTCTACTCCTTCCGCCAGTTACCACGACGACGAGGAGGAGGAGGAGGGAGAGGAGGAGGGAGAGGAGGAGGAGGAGGAGGGGGAACAGGGAGGCAGAGGAGGAGGAGGGAGTGGCCGGTCGATCATTTTTCTTTTAATTATTTCCCACCCCCCTCCAAAACCAGGGGAGGGGGGGGGGGGGTCTGAGTGAGTGTGTGGGGGGGGGGGGGGCCCCAATTGAAGCCGAGCTCAGGACCGGGTCTCCGCATTCTCCACACATTCGGGTGGCGGTGGTTGCCGTGCTGCGGTAACGCCCCCTCCCCTCCACCCCCCACCCGCCCCCCCCCCCCGCCCCCCTCTGTTCTCTCGTCACCGTCGGAGGGAGGGGAGAGGCAGGGAGGGAAGGGGGGGCCAGGGGGGCCAGGGGGGGCCAGGGGGCAGCAGGAGGAGGGAGGGAATGAAATTTACATGAGGAGGCACTTCTTTTTCGATTTTCTTTTTCTTCTTCCGCCCGTCTTTACTCACGCGGTCCTTGTACTGCGGATCTCCCGCACCAGGGTGTAGAAGGCGTCGTCCACGCCCTGCAGCAGGGGGCACGCACACAGCGGAGCCTCTCGTTAGAGGGGGGGGGGGCGGGGGGGGGGGGGGGGCCTCACGCTCTCATGCGGGACGACGGGAGGGGCTCGTGCGCAGAGACGCGCACGGACACGCGGGGGGCCAACACCGGAGCCTCGCACACACACGCAGACAGGCGGACACACGGACACACAGACACGCAGGGCGAACACCCATAGCCTCGCACACACGCGGACACGCGGACACACAGGGCCAACACCCATAGCCTCGCACACACACGGACACGCAGACACGCAGGGCGAACACCCATAGCCTTACACACACACGGACACACGGACACACGGACAGGCAGACACGCAGGCCAACACCGATAGCCTTACACACGCACGGACACACGGACACGCGGACACGCGGCACGCAGGACCAACACCCATAGCCTCGCACACACGCGCGGGACACGCGGACACACGGACACGCAGACACGCAGGGCGAACACCCATAGCCTCGCACACACACACTACGCGGACACGCGGACACACGGCCACGTGGCCAGGCGGCATCCCAGGCACGCGGGAATCGAAACCCCCCGGGTCGCCGGGGTCGTGGTGCGGCACGCCACGGGACCCCCACCAGCCGCCCCTTACTCCCCCTGGACACTCCCCAACCACCCCCCCCCACAGCTGCCCCCACCTCCCCCCGCCCCCCTCGCCCCCCCCTCCCCCCCGCCTACCTGCCGAGTCTTGGCGGAGGTCTCTATGAAGGGGATGCCGTAGCTGCGTGCCAGCTCCTGCGCCTGCTTCGTGTCCACGGTCCGCGTGGGCAGGTCACACTTGTTACCCACCAGCACCATCGGCACGTCCTCAGAGTCCTTGACGCGCTTGATCTGTTCCCTGCAAGGGCGGGCGGGCGGGCGGCAGTGCTCGGTCGCGGCCGTGCGTCCCGGTGACGGTGACGGTGACGGTGACGGTGACGGTGACAGTGACAGTGACGGTGACGGTGCCGACGCTCCGGGCAAGGCCGCCGCCTCGCTGCCGACCCCTCCCCAAGGGGTCGGCAGCGGTCACGTCGGACTTGCTAAAGGTCGTCATGCTCACAGCAGCAGCAGCGGCAGCAGCGGATTGTGGCTCCACTACACACTACTATATAATACATTACACTATACACTACTATACACTACACTATACACTACTCTACACTATACTATACACTACACTACTCTACACTATACACTACTATACACTACACTATACACTACAATACACTACACTACTATACACTACACTATACACTACAATACACTACTATACACTACACTATACACTACTATACACTACACTATACACTACAATACACTACACTACTCCACACTACACTATACACTACTATACACTACACTACTACACACTACGATACACTACACACTACTATACACTACTACACACTACTATAGCATACAATACACTATACTATACACTACTATACACTACACACTACTATACACTACTATATAATACAATACACTACACACTACACTATACACTACACTACTATACACTACCATATAATACAATACACTACACACTACTACACACTACTACATAATACAATACACTACACACTACTATACACTATATCATACAATACACTACATACTACTATATAATACAATACACTACACACTACTCTATAATACAATACACTACTATACACTACTATATAATGCAATAAACTACACACTACACTATACACTACTATACAATACACTACAAACTACTATACACTACACACTACTACACACTACTATACACTACTATATAATACAATACACTACACACTACTATACACTACACACTACTATATAATACACACTACTATATAATGCAATACACTACACACTACTATATAATACAATACACTACACACTACCATATAATACAATACACTACACACTACACTACACATTACTATCCACTACTATACACTACACTACACACTACTATACACTACGATACACTATACACTACTATATAGTACAATACACTACACACTACTATATAATACTATACACTACACACTACACTATACACTACACACTACTATATAATACAATACACTACACTACTATATAATATGATACACTACACTATACACTACTATATAATACAATACACAATATATAATAATATACACTACACACTTCACTATACACTACACACTACTATATAATACAATATACTACACACTACTATATAATACGATACACTACACACTACACTATACACTACTATATAATACTATACACTACAATATAATACTATACACTACACTACAATATAATACTATACACTACACTACAATATAATACTATGCACTACACTACACTATACACTACTATATAATACAATACACTACACACTACTATATAATACTATACACTACACTATACACTACACACTGCTATACACTACAATACACTACACACTCATTGGTTTTTTTCGGGAAGGTCACGTATGTATTGTATTTCTACATACGTGACTTTACCGAAAAAAACAATGAGTAATTTTATGCAGTCACGGAAGCTTTAATACTTTATCACTACACACTATTCTAGATTTGAAGCTTTCGTGACTGCAAGGATCCATACTCTTTGGTTCTATTCGGTAAAGTCACGTAGGTAAAAAAATAAAACAACAAAAATCACGACGTTTCGGCCACAACACAAGCGGCCTTCATCAGGTGAAGGGACCGGACTGTCCAGAGGACAGCGTTGGAGTGAAGACAGCTTTCAACAGACAACGGGACAAGAAGTCAAAGCTCATCGAGACGCTGACCTTCCTCAAAAGATGCCGCGACCACAAGCTTAAAGGACGCGACCTGGGCTTGCTGTCTTCACTCCAACGCTGTCCTCTGGACAGTCCAGTCCCTTCACCTGATGAAGGCCACTTGTGTTGTGGCCGAAACGTCGAGATTTTTGTTATTTTATTTTTTACCTACGTGACTTTACCGAATAGAACCATAGAGTACACTACACACTACACTATACACTACACACTACTATACACTACAATGCAATACACACTACACACTACTATATAATACAATACACTACACACTACTATATAATACTATACACTAGACACTACTATATAATACAATACACTACACACTACACTATACACTACAATACACTACACACTACTATATAATACAATACACTACTATATAATACTATACACTACACACTACTATATAATACTATACACTACACACTACTAAATAATACTATACACTACACACTACACTATACACTACTATACACTACACTACAATACACTACACACTACTATACACTACACACTACTATATAATACAATACACTACACTACTATACACTACAATACACTACACACTACAATACACTACACACTACTATACAATACACTACACACTACAATACACTACACACTACTATATAATACAATACACTACACACTACTATACACTACAATACACTACTATATGAAACAATACACGACACACTACAATATACACTACTATACAATACACTACACACTACAATACACTACACACTACTATACACTACAATACAGTACACACTACTATACACTACTATACAATACAATACACTACTATAAACTACAATACACTACACACTACACTATACACTACTATACACTACAATACACTACACCACACTACACACTACTATACACTACAATACACTATACACTACACACTGCTATACACTACAATACACTATACACTACACACGACAATACACTACAATACACTACTATACACTACACACTACAATACACTACACACTACACTATACACTACAATACACTATACACTACACTACTATACACTGCACTATACACTACACACTACTATACACTACACTATAACACTACTATACACTACACTATACACTACACACTACAATACACGACATACTACAATACACTACTATACACTACACTATACACTACTATACAATACACTACACACTACAATACACTACACACTACTATACACTACACTACAATACAGTACACACTACTATACACTACTATATAATACAATACACTACTATAAACTACAATACACTACACACTACACTATACACTACTATACACTACAATACACTACACCACACTACACACTACTATACACTACAATACACTACACACTGTTATACACTACAATACACTATACACTACACACGACTATACACTACAATACACTACTATACACTACACACTACAATACACTACACACTACACTATACACTACAATACACTACACACTACTATACACTACACTATACACTACACTACTATACACTACACTATACACTACACACTACTATACACTACACTATACACTACACACTACTATATACTACACTATAACACTACTATACACTACACTATACACTACACACTACAATACACGACATACTACAATACACTACTATACACTACACTATACACTACAATACACGACATACTACAATACACTACTATACACTACACACTACACTATACACTACTATACACTACACTATACACTACTACACACTACTATACACTACAATACATTACTATACACTACACACTACAATACACTATACACTACTACACACTACACACTACTATACACTACTACACACTACACACTACTATACACTACACTACACACTACTATACACTACACTACACACTACTATACACTACACTACACACTACTATACACTACACTACACACTACTATACACTACACTACACACTACTATACACTACACTACACACTACTATACACTACACTACACACTACTAAATAATACTATACACTACACAATACTATATAATACTATACACTACACTATACACTACACACTACTATACAATACACTATACACTACACTATACACTACTATACACTACACTATAACACTACTATACACTACACTATACACTACACACTACAATACACGACACACTACAATACACTACACTATACACTACTATACACTAATATACACTACACACTACTATACACTACACTATACACTACTACACACTACTATACACTACAATACATTACTATACACTACACACTACAATACACTATACACTACTACACACTACACTATACACTACTATACACTACTACACACTACTATACACTACACACTACTATACACTACACGCTACTATACACTACACTACACACTAGTAAATAATACTATACACTACACAATACTATATAATACTATACACTACACTATACACTACTATACAATACACTATACACTACTATACACTACACACTACACTATACACTACACTATACACTACACACTACTATACACTACTATACACTACACTATAACACTACTATACACTACACACTACAATACACGACACACTACACTATACACTACTATGCATTACACACTACTATACACTACACTACTACACACTACTATACACTACAATACATTACTATACACTACACACTACAATACACTATACACTACTACACACTACACTATACACTACTACACACTACACTACACACTACTAAATAATACTATACACTTAACAATACTATATAATACTATACACTACACTATACACTACTATACAATACACTATACACTACAATACACTACACACTACTACACACTACTATACACTATACACTACACTTTTGGCTCGTCGTAGAATAAAGAAGGCCGTCTGGAACGCTCCTTCCTTTCCGATGTTAGGAAGCCACTGCAAGCTGGGCACTTTTACACCACCACCACCATCATCATCTAAGGTTGACAACAAACTCGTTTCTCTTACAGCTGCTCCGTGGTTTTTTCCCCTTCCCCGTTCTAGTTTGTTGCACTTCCTCCACACCTCCGTGTGTGTGTGTGGGGGGCTCACAGCTTCCACCTGTACTGGTGGAAGCTGTAAGACCCCCACACACACACACCCTGCCACCTGTACTGGTGGAGCAGTAAGACACACACACACACACCCTACCTCCTGTACTGGTGGAGCAGTAAGACACACACACACACACCCTGCCACCTGTACTGGTGTATGGTGTAAGACACACACACACACACCCTACCTCCTGTACTGGTGTATGGTGTAAGACCCCCACACACACACCCTGCCACCTGTACTGGTGTATGGTGTAAGACCCCCACACACACACCCTGCCACCTGTACTGGTGGATACAGTGAGACACACACACACACCCTGCCACCTGTACTGGTGTATGGTGTAAGACCCCCACACACACACCCTGCCACCTGTACTGGTGTATGGTGTAAGACACACACACACCCTGCCACCTGTACTGGTGTATGGTGTAAGACACACACACACACACACCCTGCCACCTGTACTGGTGGAGCAGTAAGACCCACACACACACACACCCTGCCTCCTGTGCTGGTGTATGGTGTAAGACACACACACACATACCCTGCCACCTGTACTGGTGGAGCAGTAAGACACACACACACACACACCCTGCCTCCTGTACTGGTGTATGGTGTAAGACACACACACACACACCCTGCCACCTGTACTGGTGTATGGTGTAAGACACACACACACCCTGCCACCTGTACTGGTGGAGCAGTAAGACACACACACACACACCCTGCCACCTGTACTGGTGTATGGTGTAAGACACACACACACACACCCTGCCACCTGTACTGGTGGAGCAGTAAGACACACACACACACCCTACCTCCTGTACTGGTGTATGGTGTAAGACCCCCACACACACACCGTGCCTCCTGTACTGGTGTATGGTGTAAGACACACACACACACACACCCTGCCACCTGTACTGGTGGAGCAGTAAGACACACACACACACACACACACCCTGCCTCCTGTACTGGTGTATGGTGTAAGACACACACACACACTGCCTCCTGTACTGGTGGAGCAGTAAGACACACACACACCCTGCCTCCTGTACTGGTGTATGGTGTAAGACACACACACACCCTGCCACCTGTACTGGTGTATGGTGTAAGACCCCCACACACACACCGTGCCTCCTGTACTGGTGTATGCTGTAAGACACACACACACACACCCCCTGCCACCTGTACTGGTGGAGCAGTAAGATCCCCACACACACACACACCCTGCCTCCTGTACTGGTGTATGGTGTATGACACACACACACACACACCCTGCCACCTGTACTGGTGGGTACTGTAAGACACACACACACACACACCCTGCCTCCTGTACTGGTGGTAGGGTGTAAGACAACAACAACAACAACCGCCATTCGCCACTAAGTGGCGGTGACATCACCACGACGCTTGTGCCAGGACATGTGCACCTTGAGGCCACGTGGAGTGTTGAACGCCCACTGGCAAGAGGTCACGGGGCAGACCCAACAGGTGCCACGGTCGACTGACTGAGATGACTGGCTGATGCACCACCTGTGCCCCCTACTGTGCCAACCTGCTGTGCTTTAGCCACCCGGCGCTCCGCTCGTTGTTGTGAGCGTCGCTCCTCCGCCCTCCGTTGTTGTTGGAGGGCAACTTCCTCCAACTGCCCAGTAGCGTCCTTCATGAGCCTCCTCCACAGAGGCCGATCTTGACACCGCTGGTACCAGTCATCGGCAAGTCCACTCAGCTACACGTCCTCCTGTACCACATCACTCCATCTCTTCTCTAGCCCATGCCGCGCCCGTTTAGCCCCCTCGATCCGGCCAATCAAAAGCTGTTTCGGTATGCGGTGGCTGGGCATGCGGGCTACATGACCCAGCCATCGCAGCCTTGCCCGCCGGAGGAGCTCACCGATGGGACCTTGCCCAGATCTTTCAAGAATTTGTGTAAGACACACACACACCCTGCCACCTGTACTGGTGTATGGTGTATGACACACACACACATACCCTGCCTCCTGTACTGGTAGAGCAGTAAGACACACACACACCCCCTGCCACCTGTACTGGTGGAGCAGTAAGACACACACACCACACCCTGCCACCTGTACTGGTGGAGCAGTAAGACACACACACACACACACCCTGCCACCTGTACTGGTGTATGGTGTATGACACACACACACACACCCTGCCACCTGTACTGGTGGATACAGTGAGACACACACACACCCTGCCTCCTGTACTGGTGTATGGTGTAAGACACACACACACACACCCTTACACCTGTACTGGTGGATACTGTAAGACCCACACACCCTTCTACCTGTACAGGAATTTATGATCGCGGGCCACTGAGGCAGACTCCATCTCCTCAGCAACCCGCGACCACCACCCATCCTTGCAGGGCCTCACGGCTCTCCGAACCTCCGAGCGAAGTCTGCGGTAAGCCTCCTCATTCTCTGACGTGGGATGCTGTGGACTATTAAAGTGGGCCTGCCGCTTTTTCTCAAATATCCTGAACACCTCCTCTGTCAGCCAGGGTCTCTGGGGAGGTCTGGACCGCGTACCCAAAGCAGCCAATGCAGCTGCATGAGTCACAGTCCTAACCTCGCCCATTTACCCTCGACATCAGGAGGAGTGGGGGACGATGCCAACCCCAGCCGCAAGCGATGATGAAATTCCCGCTTGCAACTTTCATCAGCTGTAAGTCCCCCACAACAACAACAACAACAACCGCCATTCGCCACTAAGTGGCGGTGACGTCACCACGACGCTTGTGCCAGGCCATGCGCACACACGCACGCACGCACACACACACACACCCCCTTCCTCCTGTACTGGTGGATGCTGTAAGCACACCCCCACACACACACCTGTACTGGTGGATGCTGTAAGCACCCCCCCACACACACACACCTGTACTGGTGGATGCTGTAAGCCCCACACACACACACCTGTACTGGTGGATGCTGTAAGCACCCCACACACACACACACACCTGTACTGGTGGATGCTGTAAGCACACCCCCACACACACACACACACCCCCTTCCTCCTGTACTGGTGGATGCTGTAAGCACACCCCCCCACACACACACCTGTACTGGTGGATGCTGTAAGCACCCCCCCACACACACACACCTGTACTGGTGGATGCTGTAAGCCCCCCACACACACCACACACACACACCTGTATTGGTGGAAGATGTAAGCCCCCCACACACCCCACACACACACACACCTGTACTGGTGGATGCTGTAAGCCCCACACACCCCCACACACACACCTGTACTGGTGGATGCTGTAAGCCCCCCGCCACACACACACACACACACACCTGTACTGGTGGATGCTGTAATCCCCCACACACACACACCTGTACTGGTGATGCTGTAAGCCCCCCACACACCCCACACACAACACACCTGTACTGGTGGATGCTGTAAGCCCCCCACACACCCACACACACACCTGTATTGGTGGAAGATGTAAGCCCCCCACACACCCCCACACACACACACCTGTACTGGTGGATGCTGTAAGCACACACACCCCCACACACCCTGTACTGGTGGATGCTGTAAGCACACCCCCCCACACACCCACACACACACCTGTACTGGTGGATGCTGTAAGCCCCCCCACACACACCCACACACACACACCTGTACTGGTGGATGCTGTAAGCACACCCCCACACACACACACACCTGTACTGGTGGATGCTGTAAGCACACCCCCACACACACACACCTGTACTGGTGGATGCTGTAAGCACACCCCCCCCCACACACACCCCCACACACACACACACCTGTACTGGTGGATGCTGTAAGCACACCCCCCCCCACACACCCCCACACACACACACACCTGTACTGGTGGATGCTATAAGCCCCCCGCCACACCACAACACCTGTACTGGTGGATGCTGTAAGCACACCCACACCCCCCCCCCCACACCACACACCTGTACTGGTGGATGCTGTAAGCACACCCCACCACACACCCCCACACACACCTGTACTGGTGGATGCTGTAAGCACCACACACACACACACCTGTACTGGTGGATGCTGTAAGCACACCCCCACACACACCCACACACACCTGTACTGGTGGATGTCCTCGAAGGACTTGGAGTTGTTGATGGCGAAGACACAGAGGAAGCCCTCGCCGGTGCGCATGTACTGGTCACGCATGGCGCTGTACTCCTCCTGCCCGGCCGTGTCCAGGATGTCCAGCAGACACGTCTCGCCGTCGATCACGACCTGCTTCCGGTACGAGTCCTGCACCCAAGGCACGCCGCACGGAGAACGGCCCCCCCCCCCCCCCCCCGACATCCGGCAACATTAGCCTCGCAGACACGTCGGCGGCCAAGGAGTTCGCGATTGCCTCCCAGCACGAGGGCGCGATGGACTCGCCGCAGCGATTGGTTGGGGAAAACAAAACAAACAACACAAAACGGATGCTGCTGGATGCTTCTTCCGAACCGACGGGAGGGGGTGCCCGCATCTCCCCAGGGCCAGATTTGTTCTCGAAGGCAAATCGTCGAAAACACAAATTGATCCCGGGGGATCAACACAAGGCTGCGGCGGAGGTGGATAACCACTGCTCTAGATGCTACCCCAGGCGCCCCCAGTGGCTCGTTCGGCCCTGTGACAGGCGTCTCGCGCGTGCTTGCCGCTGGGCGTGCTCAACCCCCCCCCCCCCCCCCCCCGCTGGATTTTACAACGCAGCTCCAACCGCGTTGCAGGAGAACCGACTGCAGGCCCACACAGACAGCAGCAGCAGCAGCAGCAGCTGCTGTGAAGGGCGGCACGACTCACGAGGTGGTGGTGGTGGTGGTGGGTGGCCAGCACCGCGCCCGGCCACGGGGAGGTCCGGGTGGGCGAGTGGGTGAGTGGGCGAGTGGGTGGGCAGTGGGTGGGTGGCGAGCGGGTGGGCGAGCGGGTGGGTGGGCGAGCGGGTGGGCGAGCGGGTGGGCGAGTGGGTGGGTGGGCGAGCGGGTGGGCGAGCGGGTGGGCGAGTGGGTGGGCGAGTGGGTGAGTGGGCGAGTGGGTGGGCGAGTGGGTGGTGGGCGAGCGGGTGGGCGAGTGGGTGGGCGAGTGGGTGGGTGGGCGAGCGGTGGGCGAGCGGGTGGGCGAGTGGGTGGGCGAAGGTGGGTGAGGTGGGCGAGTGGGTGGGCGAGTGGGTGGGTGGGCGAGCGGGTGGGCGAGTGGTTGGTGGTGCGGCGAGCGGGTGTGCGAGTGGGTGGGCGAGTGGGTGGGCGAGCGGGTGGGCGAGCGGGTGGGTGAGTGGGTGTGCGAGCGGGTGGGCGAGCGGGTGTGCGAGTGGGTGTGCGAGCGGGTGTGCGAGTGGGTGGGTGAGTGAGTGTGCGAGCGGGTGGGCGAGCGGGTGTGCGAGTGGGTGTGCGAGCGGGTGTGCGATGTGGGGTGTGCGAGTGGGTGTGCGAGTGGGTGTGCGAGCGGGTAGGCGAGCGGGAGTAGGCGAGTTGGGGGGGCGGAGTGGGTAGGCTGAGCGGGGGGGTGAGTGGGTGAGTAGATTAGTGGGTGAGTAGGTGAGCGGGCAGGTGAGCAACTAGGTGAGTAGGTGGGTGGGTGAGTAGGTGGGTGGGTGGGTGAGTAGGTGGGTGGGCGAAAAGATGAGTAGGCGAGTGGGTGTGTGGGTGAGTAGGTAGGTAGGTGGGTGAGCGAGCATGTGATTGGGTGGATAACTAGGCGTGTAGGTGGGTGGGCGAGTAAGTGGGTGGGCGAGTAGGTGGATGGGTAATTATGGGAGTGGGTGAGTAGGCGAGTGGGTGGGTAATTAGGTGAGCGGGTGGGTGAATGAGTGGGTGGGCGAGTAGGTCGATGAGAGAGCGGGTGAGCAGGTGGGTGGACGGGTGGGTGAGTAGGTTATTGGGGTGGGCGAGGTGGGCGAGCGAGCGGGCAGGCGAGTTCCAGGCCGATGGAACCGCTGCCCGCAAGTCTGCGAGGTCGCTACGGCGACGCCGCGGGCGCTCACCTCGATGGTGGGGTCGTACTCGTCCACAAAGTGGTTCTGGATGAGCTGGATGGTGAGGGCACTCTTGCCAACACCTCCAGCGCCCACCACCACCAGCTTGTACTCCGTCATGGCGCCCGCTGTCCCGCCTGCTGCTGCTGCTGCGGCGACGACAACGACGACAACGACAACAACCACAACCTCGATGACTTCACCACGGCGCTTGTGCCAGGCGCGGTGCACTTGCGAGGCCACGCGAAGTTGTCCCAACGGCCGCTGGCGGGAGGTCACACGGTTCAGACCCAGGTGGTGCCATGGGGCTGACGGACCGAGACGCGAGGCAACAGACACACGCACACACACACGCACACACACACACGCACACACGCACACACGCACACACACACGCACACACACACACACACGCACGCACGCACGCACACACGCACACACGCACACACACCACGCACACACACGCACACACACACACGCACACACACACGCACACACACACGCACGCACACGCACACGCACACACAACACAACACAACAACAACAACCGCCATTCGCCACTAAGTGGCGGTGACGTCACCACGACGCTTGTGCCAGGCTATGTGCACCCTGAGGCCACGTGAAGTGTCGAACGCCCGCTGGCAGGAGGTCACGGGGCAGACCCAGGTGCCACGGGTCGACTGACTGAGATGACTGGCTGATGCACCACCTGTGCCCCCTACTGTGCCAACCTGCTGTGCTTTAGCCACCCGGCGCTCCGCTCGCTGTTGTGAGCGTCGCTCCTCCGCCCTCCGTTGTTGTTGGAGGGCGACTGCCTCCAACTGCCCAGTAGCATCCTTCACGAGCCTCCTCCACAGAGGCCGATCTTGACACCGCTGGTACCAGTCATCGGCAAGTCCACTCAGCTCCACGTCCTCCTGTACCACATCACTCCATCTCTTCTCTAGCCCGTGCCGCGCCCGCTTAGCCCCCTCAATCCGGCCAAACAAAAGCTGTTTCGGCATGCGGTGGCTGGGCATGCGGGCTACATGACCCAGCCATCGCAGCCTTGCCTGCCGGAGGAGCTCACCGATGGGACCCTGCCCAGATCTTTCAAGGATTTGTGAGCTCCTCACACAATCCAGTCTGGTTAAACCCAGGATGGATCGTAGGCAGGCCAGCCTAAATGTTTCTAACCGGCGAAGATGTTCCATTAGGGGGGTCCACGTTTCGCAAGCGTAGAGAAGGGAGGGAATGACCGTGGCCGAGAAGACCTGAAGCTTAGTGCGGAGCGACAGACCAGGTAGCTTCCACACAGCGTTACGCAACCGATGAAAAGATATTGCCGCTCGACTGATTCGGAGTGAGACCTCTGCTGTTAAACTGGTGCCAGTCATAAGCACACTGCCCAGGTATGGGAAACTCTCCACTCTCTCCACAACTGCCCCATCACCGATTGGGAGTTGTGGGGGTGGAGTGTCCGATGGTACAAAATACCCAGGCAGGTGCTTGGTTTTGGTGGGGCTGATGGTAAGGCCCCACCTCTTAGTGGCACGCTCCAGTCTCAGCAGCAGCGTCTCCAACTCCTCCTCTGACTGAGCAGCTATTACCAAGTCATCAGCATACATAACGTGGTTGAGCAATAGGGAGCCATCCCTTGACCGCACCCGGGCATCGATTAGCCTCCCATTATATCTGTACCATATGGAGATTCCCCCGGTACAGCTATTGAAGGCTTCACGAACTACGTGGTCAAAATAGATGTTAAATAATGTGGGAGCCAGAGGACATCCCTGTCGCACCCCAAGGTGTACAGGGAATGGCTCTGACTCCCGGCCACGTAGTTTTACCCGGGCCCGCTCACCATCATGAAGGTCCTTAATGATCGTGAGCAGAGGGTCAGGTACTCCAAAAGCACGAAGAACGACCCAGAGCCCAGGCCTACTGATGGTATCATAGGCCTTGACCAGGTCAATAAAGCAGAGATGTAGGTCTTGTTGGAATTCCCTACACCTCTGCTGTAGCAGACGGACAGAAAATATGGCATCTGTGCAGGACCGCCCTTTCCTGAAACCGCATTGGGGCTCCGCAAGCCTCTCCTCAGCGTGCCTGGCAAGGCGATGCTGAATAATCCTTGCCAGGACCTTTCCCGGCACACTGAGGAGTGAGATGCCCCTGTAGTTGTTACAGTCTGTGCGGTCCCCCTTCTTAAAAAGGGGGACCACCAGGGCATCCTTCCAATCCTGCGGAACCCGTCCAGTGGTCCAGACTGTTGTTATGATGTCATATAGGGCAGTCTGTGCACAAACGCCACCCTCCCTCAGCATTTCGCTTGGAAGATCATCTCTGCCCGCTGCCTTTCCTGGTCTCAGACTCCGGATCGCCTTCAATACTTCCTCAGCAGATGGCACCTCAGCCAGCCACTCACAGGGGGTGACTTCATCCAATATTTGAGGCACCGCAGCCTCAGCAGGGTCATCCTCACTTTGTGCCACGATGTTTTCCTGGCTGAGGGATTTTCCCTCCCCCAGGACCTCACAGAAATGCTCAGCAAATCTGCGAACCTGTTCCTGGGGGTCGGAAATTGGATCGCCGTTTTTTCCCCTAATGATGGTAATAGGTGTGGCGCTGCAGGTTACTTTTTGATGGAGTTAAATAGAGATTTGTGATCACGGGCCACTGAGGCAGACTCCATCTCCTCAGCAACCCGCGACCACCACCCATCCTTGCAGCGCCTCACGGCTCTCCGAACCTCCGAGCGAAGGCTGCGGTAAGCCTCCTCATTCTCTGACGTGGGACTCTGTAGCCGATGACAGTGGGCCTGTCGCTTTTTCTCAACCATCGTGAACAACTCCTCTGTCATCCAGGGTGTCTGGGGAGGTCTGGACCGCGTACCCAAAGCAGCCATTGCCAGCTGCATGAGTCACAGTCCTAAACCTCGCCCATTTACCCTCGACATCAGGAGGAGTCGGGGACGATGCCAATCCCAGCCGCAAGCGATGATGAAATTCTCGCTTGCAACTTTCATCAGATAACTGAGACCAGGCCACTTTAGGTTGGAATGGGGTCCTGGGTGTACACCCACCACCGGAGTGGAAGAATGGCAGGCGCATCTTACAGATGACTAGTCGATGGTCAGAGGGCAGATCAGCTCCACGGTAGGTCCTGGTGTCAAGGACATGGGCTCGCATTCGCTGGTCCGTCACTATGTAGTCCAGCAGATGTTCTTGCTTGGACCCGGCATGCATCCATGATGTTGTGTGGATGCGCCGATGCCGGAACAGCGTGTTGGTAATTACAAGCCCATGGGCTGCACAAAAATCTAGCAGCCTCCTACCGTTGTTATTGAGCTGATCTGGCCCATGCCCTCCAATCACTCCAGGCCAGGTGCCAGTATCATGACCAACTCGGGCATTGAAGTCACCCAACATGATGACTCTATCCCGAGGGGCCACTTTAGCCAGCACCTGTGACAGGAGGTCATAGAAGGCATCTGACTCATCGGCTTTGCCTGCATCCCTCCACGGATGTTCATCTTCGGTGGGGGCATAAGTAACCACGACCACCATTCCTCGCCTCCTGTTGATGGGAAGGCGAGCCCAAAGTAGCCTGGGGCTTACAGCTTCCCACACCTCACCGCCACGCTCCCACGCCCCCTTCATTCTTTTGTTCAAAAGAAGACCCACACCCTGTTGTTTGGCAGTCTGCTGCCCCGAGTAGAGGACTGTCCACCCCTCATGGTGGCAGGAGCCAGAGCCGGTCCACCGGACCTCCTGAATGCCGCATAGATCCAGGCGGTACCGGTCCAGCTCCCGACAGAGGAGTGGCAGCCTCTCCTCTGCAGTGAGCGTTCGAACATTCCACGTGGCCAACCGTAGTGGCTTTTCGTTGTTTCTGGAGTAGCCCCGAGGGTAGGTATTCAATCTCCTGGCTCCGCCAATTGGGGTTTGGCCAGGAGACGTCATAGACGCCTGGCCCCCCGGGGCCTCCGGCACAAGCTTAGTTGTTACATATTTAAGTTTAATTCGTAGTTTCGTGGTAATTAATTGAAGGTGGAGGGGTTACCAGCCCCTCGCACCCGTCCAGAGCCCCCGTTTAGCCCCTGTGGTGGATACATATGCCATGAGGGGAGGAGCCAATCAAAATTGGATCTCCCCCCACAGCGCTGTCCACGACAGAGTTGCCCGTCCGGCACCACGAGGAGGTAGGGGGTTGTTTTGCACACACACACACACGCACACACACACACACGCACACACACACGCACACACACACGCACGCACACACACACGCACACACACACGCACACACACACACACGCACACACACACACGCACACACACACACGCGCACCACACACGCACACACACACGCACACGCACAAAGATCCCCCGTACAGCCTGAACAGACTGTAGGGCAAGTGCTGTTAGCGAGCACCTATGAAAGCCGGAACGGTACACTAGGGGGTGGGTGGCCAGCACCACGCCCGACCGCCTTTGTCTCCCTAGTGGCAATGTTTACACACCGCACCAGGTACTCATTTGAGGCTGAGTCGACCTAGGGGAGGCCCGGTTCAGATGATCGTCACTGGTGTTGGCCGTGAGCGAGAATCGAACCCGTGTCACCAGGTTCATAGTGCAGCGCGCTAACCGCTACACTACCGCTCCCCACTCACGCACACGCACGCACACAAAGATCCCCCGTGTAGCCTTCGCAGACTGTCGGGGCAAGTGCGGTTAGGAGAGCGGCGCCTACGAAGGCCGGCGCCGTGGCACACGAAGGGGGGGGCGGGCGTGGGGTGGCCGGCGACCACGCCCGGCCGCCTTTGTCTCCCCAGTGGCGACGTTTACTAACACACCGCGCACCAGGATACGTCGCTGGAGGCCGAGTCGACCTAGCGGATGCGTTGGTCGCGAGCGGGGAATCGAACTCGGGTGACCGGGCTCGTAGCGCTAACCGCTCCCCCCACCGAGATTCGTGCACGGCGACGATGGCGACGATGGAAGACTTCGCCGCGTGTCGCCACTTCAAGACGTTTCTTACCCCCCCCCCCCCCGTTCGTGTTTTTGTTTTGTTTGCGGTCGCACCGGGAGTCGTGAGCCGCACGGCTCACGGGGTCATACCTAATACGTGAAAAGTGAAATGGATGAACACACGCACGTGCACGTGT